TAATAAGCCACTGGTTTTCCGCAAAAAAATCATATAATGACTGATGGTTATGACTAATTAATAAGTTTGACACCATCGCCAAAGTCTTCACAGTGCCTAGTATGAGGAAAGAAAGAAGTAATATTGATAATTGTGTTGGAACTACAGTCTCTCTTAGGTGGGTAGTGAAAACAAGGATCCATGGACATAGCTCTTTCACGTGGAGGACCTGGAACCTCTCCACTGAATGTGCTCTTCCGAATCCATGGCTTCAAACCTCCAAGGACTTGAGCAACATACCCAAAACTAGAAAATGAACTCGTAATCAACGCATCAGTCAAACTCAGCAGATACATCTCAGTCCAGGCCTTCATGTTGTGCTTAGTGTCGTTTAAGTTTTGATTCTCTTCATGACTTGGCTGATAAATTCTTATCACCTCATTGCTTACACTTGTATTTGCCATATACGTAGCTTTTAGCTTATTTCCGTATTCTGACTATAAAGAAATGACAAGAACAGCTTTTGACGTATTATGATTCTGGGATGGAGTAGAAGTTACTGATGTTCTCCCATCTGATTGAGGCAAAAGATTGTTCTTGGAGGTACAAGCTAAGATTTTGTTGAGAACAACTTGATGGGGTTCTTTTTGTGTGTCAAATAATCTAATCTGGAGGCCAATCTTCTGAGTTGCCATGGACAAATGAGTCTAATAGAAGTTGCTGATGAATTTCCATGCAATATTTGATGGGTGAAAAAGGTAGTTTCCTAGAAGGTGAAAGATGGTGTCTTTTTCTGGGAACATTTTGGTTAGATCTTGCCTGAAAGATGGGATCATGAAAAGAGAAGGAACAAAGTACTGATTTGACTGCAAAATCAACACAGGAACATTCTGCAGAAGATCTTGAGTAGAACCACAGTGGAAAAAAGCATAATGATCATCATTGGTGGGTCGTAGATGTGTTAAAATAGTTAGTATATTTTCTGTTGTATTGTGTTAGGCTTGGGCCTGATCCTTAAGCCCATTATGGTTATAGCCCGGTACACTGATCTATTTAGGTTGTGCTTGTAACACTGCAGATGTATGGACTCATTATTTTTTCAATAGATAGTTTTATGTTTTCCGCTGTGTGAATTCTCTGGTTTCTATCATGGTATCAGAGCCAGGAGTGGTCCACTGTCTATGTTTTGAGCCCATCAACTGAAGCCCAAATTCGCCTAGCCGGAAATCCAAGAACCGAAAGTCATTCCCAATCTTGCCACAACCCAGTGCTTCCTTTCTCTTTTCGGTGCCGCTAAACTGAAAAGAACCCTCACGACTCAGGAACGCCGACAACAGCGACTGATTTCATGGGGGAAGAAAAGGAATGGCGATGGCTATGAAGGGAAGAGGAAGAGGAAGAGGTAGAGGGAGAGGTTCTCCCCTACCTAAATGTGATCATTGCCGCAAGAAAGGACACACGAAAGACCAATGTTGGCAAATTATTGGGTTTCCCTCAGATTACAAGGGAACCAAAGGAAGACAGAATCAGGAAAGCAAAGGGAATCAAAGTAGTGGGCACAGAGAAGCAGAGGCCCTCACCAACACTTCGACGGTCGTATCCCCTAGCTTCACCTTGGAGCAATATGAAAGATTGCTGGAAATTCTGAAGAAAGATTTAGAAAGCAACGCACATGCCCTCACCGGTACAGGTTTGCCTAATCTATCTGTCACTAAATTGAATAATAGTAAATGGGTTATTGATTCTGGAGCCACCACACACATGGTTAGTGATTTAAGGTTGTTAGACAGTTATAAGACGTATAATGGACCCATTAAACATATAAGAATTCCAAATGGTGATAGATTCTCGGTAACTCACATAGGAAAAGTTAAATTCCCGAATGGAATAGAGTTAAATCGAATCCTGTACGCTGTTGAACTACAATTTAATCTGATTTCTGTTTCACAAATCACAAAAGACACTCTTTGTGTTGTTTCCTTCTATCCTGATAAATGCACCTTGCAGGGCCTTCTGGATGGGAAGATGAGGGGGACTGGTAGAGTAGATCATGGTTTATATCTGTTGAGACTGGAAAAGGGTTATGATTGTATGGGTTCTGTTCATGATTGTGATAATGATAAGTCTGTGGATTTGTGGCTTCTGCATGAAAGGATGGGGCATGCGCCCCTCAATGTAATCAAACATTTGGATATAGTGAAAAATAAGTCTATAGTAATAAATAAGAGCTGTGATGCTTGTTTTCAATCAAAACAGACAAAGCTCCCCTTTCCCTCTAGCTGCATTAAAACCTTTGGCTGCTTTGACTTGATTCATATGGACGTTTGGGGACCATATAAGGTCCCAACACATGCTGGTTTTAAGTGTTTTCTTATTATTGTCGATGACTATTCAAGAGCTACATGGACTTATTTGATGAAAAACAAATCTGAAACTGGTTATCACATCAAGACTTTCTTTTCTTATGTTTTAACTCAATTCGGTTCACATGTTAAAAGGATAAGGAGTGATAATGGTAGTGAATTTGTTAATCATGATTTAAATGGTTTCTTTAAGGAAGAAGGTATTGTTCATGAGACTACTTGTCCCTACACCCCAGAACAAAATGGTATTGTTGAAAGAAAACATCGAACTTTGATGCAAATTTCAAGAGGCCTAATCATTCAATCTGGTTTGCCCATTAGGTTTTGGGGGGAATGTATTAAAACTGCTACTTATCTTGTTAACAGAATACCGAGTAGAATTCTAAAGTTTCAGACTCCTTATCAAATCCTTCATGGACATGGTGCCGACTATAGTGACTTGAAAGTTTTTGGCTGCCTATGTTATGCTACAGATTTGGTTGTTACTGACAAATTTAAACCCAGATCCATACCATGTGTCTTCTTAGGTTATCCTCCTAATCAAAAGGGATTTGTCTTACTAAATATGAAAGATAACAATATTTTTACAAGCAGGCATGTCAGGTTCCTTGAAAATATTTTTCCTTTTAAAAATGGGCATAGCACTGATCAAGGGGGAGTGTCCAAGGAGATGAAACAAATGTTTTTCTTTGATGATCTTGATGATATTTCTGTACACCGTAATGATCTATCTATTGTCACTAGACAATCTGACCAAGAAAATGCTAGAGACCACATCCGAACTGATGATTTAAGCCAAACAGAAAGACCTAATAGGGAAAGAAGGCCTCCCATATGGGCCAAGGACTATATTTGCAATATGACACAGTCTATCTTAGGACAGTCCAGTGTAAAACCGAAACTTAAGCCTAAATGTAGGTACCCTATAGAGGATTATATTTCATATGATAATGTCTCTTCTTCTCATATGTGTTTTCTTTGTTCTATTGATGATGTTTTTGAACCTACTTATTATTGTGAGGCTGTTAAAAATCAGAATTGGGTGGCTGCCATGAAAAGTGAAATACAAGCTTTGAAAGAAAATAACACTTGGGATATAGTTTCGATGCCTAAAAATAAGAAACCAATAGGTTGTAAATGGGTATATAAAATTAAATACAAACCAGATGGGAGTGTTGACAAATATAAAGCTAGATTGGTAGCAAAAGGATATGATCAAGTAGAAGGGATAGATTACAATGAAATTTTTTCTCCAGTAGTTAAGATGGTAACGGTGAGGACTGTTCTTAAGTTGGCTACTGTAAATAATTGGTTATTATATCAAATGGATGTAAACAATGCTTTCTTGCAGGGAGACCTTAATGAAGAGGTGTACATGACTATACCTCAAGGGTTTGAAAATCAGGAAGCTAATATGGTTTGTAAGTTCAAAAAATCTTTATATGGGCTTAAACAAGCTTCTAGGCAATGGAACCAGAAATTGTCTTTAGCATTGTTGAGTGGGGGGTTCTCACAAAGTAAATATGATTACTCATTGTATTTTAAACATTATGATAATGGTTCTATAATTATATTAGTTTATGTAGATGATCTTCTAATAACTGGTAGTAATGAACAGAGAATCAAACAAGTCAAGGGTTTTCTGCATAGTCATTTTAAAATCGAAGACTTGGGAATCATGAAGTACTTTTTAGGTATAGAGGTTGTTAGGTTAAGGAAAGGTATTGTGCTTTCCCAAAGAAAATACACTTTGGATCTTCTTGCAGAAACTAGTATGAGTGGGTGTAAGCCACTAACACTGCCTATGGCACAACATATGAAACTGACAGTCTATGAAGAGAAGAAACACCGGAAGGAGGACTTGTTTCAGGAGCCAGGGAAGTATAGGAGACTAGTTGGGAAGCTTATTTACTTAACAATGACAAGACCTGATATTTCCTTTCCTGTGCAGGTGCTTAGTCAATTCAGGCAACTTCCTATGAAGTCTCATTGGGCAGCAGCTCTAGGAGTGCTAAGATATCTGAAGCAGTCACCTGGCCTTGGGATTCGGTTGAGCTCGGATGGAGATCTGAATCTGAAGTGCTTCTGTGATTCAGATTGGGGGTCGTGCGAGACCACGAGGAGGTCAGTCATGGGGTATCTCCTCAAATTAGGAGATTCCCTCATCATCTGGAAAACAAAGAAGCAACCCACAGTATCAAGATCTTCAGCAGAAGCTGAATACCGGGCATTGGGATCTGCTGTTTCAGAAGTTGTTTGGGTCAGAGGCTTGCTGACAGATCTGGAAATTCCTGTGCAAGAACCGGTGAAGGTGTTCTATGATAGTAAATCTGCAATATACATAGCCACAAATCCAGTTTTCCATGAGCGCACCAAACATATCGAAATAGATTGTCATTTTGTGAGGGAAAAAGTGACTAAAGGACTTGTAAAGTTACAGCATGTGAGATCTGCCAATCAAGAGGCAGATATCTTAACCAAAGCTGTAGGAAAGGAAACGCAACTGAGGTTTCTTAGCAAGTTAGGTGCTTGTAATATGTTCCAGCCCCCAACTTGAGGGGGAGTGTTAAAATAGTTAGTATATTTTCTGTTGTATTGTGTTAGGCTTGGGCCTGATCCTTAAGCCCATTATGGTTATAGCCCGGTACACTGATCTATTTAGGTTGTGCTTGTAACACTGCAGATGTATGGACTCATTATTTTTTCAATAGATAGTTTTATGTTTTCCGCTGTGTGAATTCTCTGGTTTCTATCAAGATGGAGAACAGAAAGATCGGACAATTCCTTATGAGAGCAATCCCTAGGTAATAACCATGATGAATTTGGAAATGGCTCACAGAAGAGACCATCCATGTTAGATTCAAATTTGACAAGAAGAACTCTGTCAGTGAGAAGGGCATAAAGAAATGCGGAAACTAAGCTTAACATTCTGTTTCCTAAGCCATCCACGGCTGTCCAGATAAGGCATTTGCAGTTGGTAGCAGAAGCATGGTTGTTGCTAGAATTAGATTTGGAGTGATTTCTGATGAAGGAGAAGCAAGCTGCACAGCTTCTGTGAAGCTGTTCATAGTGACGAAGCTTGGATTTCAGATGTTGGGAGGGCTTGTGAGGGGAAGCTTTGCGGTATAAGTGAGATTCATGTCTGCTTAAGCATGATCCTCTATCAAATGTCGAAACCAATAGTCCATCAAGCAGTTCATTGTTCTCATCATCACTGGATGAATAATCTTCTGTGTAACCATGTGATTCATACTTTTGACCTGTGCATTGGAAGACAATGCATCAAAATTCAACAGCTTATTAAGGATTTTCAAGTGAACAGAGATAAAGATTTAAGTTCTTGGTGGGTTTCACATATAAAGTAGAACCTACCAAACGTCTATTTAGTCTCTTTTCACCAAAATGATTTCGGCGAATGATAAAAAAAATTTTATATTAATATTTATATAAAAGACTTCCGGAAAAAAAAATCTGAATTTGTAAAGTAACCTTGGCAACTTCATATAGAACTTCTTAAAACTTAAATGCCACAATATCAACACTAAATATTATATGTAAAAACTGCTCGGCTGACAACAAATTTGAAAGAACAAGATTCCTGTATTGAGATTTGCAGTGAAAAATATTGATGTGCTATATTTTTGTAGCATTTTCCCCAACCTATAGTCGTTATGACAATTGTTCATTGAGTTGGAGACACTATTTAGAAGAGGGAGAAGGCAAAAAGAAAGAAAAGAAAAGGAGGAATAATTTGCAGCTTCCAAAGTTTTGGTGGAATATAATTCAATAAAAGAATTCATATATAACTAAAATAACTGATTAACTCATCGATATTAAAAAATAGTTAAAACTAGTTTGAATTTTTAAATTTGTCACGAGTGAAAAATATTTTTCAAAACTATCCTCCATTCAATGTTTAAAATTTTACACTCAATTTAATGATGAGTAGTTAAAGCTCCTAATTAATGACGAGTAGAAGAAATGGCAAAAAAATAATAAAAGTAGAAAAAAAAATTATTCAAGACGTAAGTGCATATTTGGAAGGAAAAATTGGGGATAAATCCCTCATTGAAAATTTATTTGGTAAATGGGACCTTGGATAATTGATTGCACAAGGGAAGATTAATTACACATAAAAGAAGATAAGTTGCACAAAAGGAAGATAGTTTGCAAAAAAAATTATTGGATATAAAGAATTCGTTTGTACATAGAAAAAATGACTTGTACATAAAAGAATTTTATTTGTACAAATAAAAATTGTGTTTGACATCGCACAAAGGAAGATCATTACACACAAGAAAAGAAAAATTGTGTTGCACATCGCACAAAAGAAGATCATTGCATACAAGGAAAGATAAATTATACACAAACGGAGTTAAGTTGCAAATAATAGAAGTTAAATTACACAAAATTCTTAAGTTGTATTTGCCAATTAAATTTTTAATAAGGATTTATCCCCAATTTTCCCTCTTTAGACTTTTAACTTTACAAAAGACTCCATGTTTTTAATTATATAAAATGTCCTTTTAATTTTCTAACTCTATCACTGTTAGCGTGTTGATATTAAGAATTTTAAATATTGACAAAAAATTTACAAATGCTAATATACTAAGTTTAATTTTTAAAATAATCATAAAAATTTATCATTTAAAACTAACAATATTAAAGTTAGAGTGCTGAAAAGATACTTTATAAAATTAAAAAATTATAACCAAATTGAAATCTTATATAAAATTACAGGATCAAAATTATCTCTCTGTTTTTTTTTTTTAAAAAACCAAAACCACTCTCTCAAATGTATTTTATAGTCGCACAATTAGGGGAAAAAGACATGTTTATGAATGAAAGGTTAGTGTGAATGTTATTGCTCTCCATGCAATGAAGTTAGTGATGATTAATTGTGGGATGTACGTTTTTTGGTTTATTGGACGAACAAATGATGAAGAGTGAGATGTTTGTTGATTCATTAGAGAGAGAATTCTACAAAGAAAAAAAAAACTTAAAATTACTAAATCTTAAATGAGATTTTTTATGTGGAAATAAGTTCGATAATAACAACACTTTAATAGATTTTAATAATATTATATTTGTAAATAACAACATATTTTCACAAAAAATTTTCAGTTACAATTTTTTATTTTTAATTTTTTTTAATGAAATTCTCTCTTCATTTAATTTGTTTAATAAAAAAAAAAGAATGAATCTCATCATATTCAATGAACCAAAAATTAAATGCGCACACAATGAACAAAGGGATTTTAAATCACTTTATGATGTGGGATTGCTGTGAGTAGTAACATATACAATATTAATATCACTTTTTTAAGTTTGAGGATTATTTAGGAATTTCTTGATATGTATTAAAAAAAAAAAAGTTAAGGAAGGCTGCATTATATGTGCAAGAGAGCATAGTTATACACCGTTAATAAACAAGTATGTTGGGGAACATCTCTTTAAGAGAATTTAAGTTAATACCAAGCATCTCCTTTAAGACTTTTTTTAAACTTAAGACTATGAGTTCGACTTTAGTAAATTATATAATGGGTGTGTGAATTATAGGGAGAAAAATATTTGACCAATCAAACAATAGATGAGAAAATGGGACGAGACTTTTTTTTTTCCTCGCCCCAGATGGTCCTTGTTCTCCTCTTTAATGAATCTTTCTATGAAAAGTTGAAGCTAAAATCTCAGGTATTCAAAGGGGAAAAAAAATCTTACCATTATCATTGAAATAAGAATTGGAAGTCATTTTTTTGGGGTCATAACTCACATCCGAAAACATTGTACAGGTTTAAACTCACAACATCATGCTTAAAAAGGATTTAAGAAAGGCGTTTAAGTTCATTGAACTACAAAAGCCTGACAGGAATTAAAAAGATTGAATACAATGAATTCTTGAGTTTAGGAAGAACATGCAATCAATTACCTGGTTGTGGAGTAGTACTCTGGTCTTTCATTCCAATGGCTATGTCTTCTTCCTTGGAGATAATGGCAGTAAAGTTGTGGGATTTTGCAGATAAGATGTTGATGTTGGGAAATTGCACAAGAATGTAAGAAATTGAGGAATAGTGTAGCCAAGTGATGGTCACTAAAATAGGGACAACTATGCAGCACCCAGTGAACAGTGCTCTCAGTCTCTCAAATCTCAATCCTGTTTCCACCATTATTGTGACCTCAAATAATTTTACACTGTTTTTAAATTGCAGCTTTTGCTATATAAACACCAAAATAGTGAGTTTGGGTTGCCCTGGGAAAAACGTGATTTTTCATATTTCCAATGCACTATTAAATACCTGCTAAGTGGGCCATGGCTCACAAATTACAGATCATATTCTCCCTCCCTCCTCCTAAATCTTAAATATAGCTAGCTTTTAAAAGAATGGTTTGATTGAGAATAATTAATGCTTATTTACTTTTTATATTTTCCTTTCTTCTTCACAATTTCATTTAATATGATTAAATGAGTAAAGTTGGAATTTTTTTTAATTTGAGATAGATTTAATAAATTAACTATCATGTTTTGATTTTGATGAATTAATTAAAGTAACTTATATTGTGAATTAGAAGGAGTGTCATTATTTCTTTCAGTCATTTTTATAAGATCTTTTTAATCAGATTATGCAATCTGAAAAAGGTTAAAATTAGTTAAAAGTTGTAAATACGTAAGAATTGAACTTTTTTTTTCTCAAATATATCTTTATTTACCAAGAAAAAATAAGAGAGAAATATTAATAATGAGATAAAGAATAAAAGAGAATGTATAAGAAAGATATAAAAGGACAAGAAAAAAATTAGTTAGGACTAAATTTAGTAAAAATATATTTAATGTTCAGATATCTCTAGACAAGATCTTATAAAAAAAGGCAAACCAATTGAAATTTTGAGATTTTATATTTTTTTGGTCATCAAATATTTTTAGATCTTGTGAAAAGCATAGTAGGCAGTATTATTTTTTCTGATAAAGTTGAAAATGAAAAATTTTTATGCCAACAAGTTGAAATGATATTAATTAAAGGAGAAGACAGAATCATATTATTCATTCACCTTGGTAATGGCCTTAAATGCCTCCAATTATTCGTTTGGATTCTGTGCGACAAATGTTCCCTACCATAGGGCGTTTCTTAAAACAAAGTGACAGTGCCCATTCCCTAATATAAGTTATTTAGAGAATTATTAATTAATATTTTCTAATTTTATCTTTATTATATTCTCTCCGGTTCAAAATATAAACTAAAATTTATCTATTTATATTTATCAAGAAACTAGTTAAAATTAGTCTAAAATAATAAATATGCAAGACATGTATTTTCTTTTCTAAATGTGCATTTATTAGTGAAGAGAATAAGTAAAAGATATAATAAATGAATCAAAGAGAAAAGAGAATATATAAATGGTAGAATTAGGAAAAAAAAACTCATTAATTGCTTATACAAAAGTAAATGTTATCTTATAAAAAAATCAAACCCCACTAATAAAATTTAGCTTATATTTTGAACCGGAAGGAGTGGATTATTAGAAGAGAATTTAAATATCTCTCTCTCTCACTCACTCACTCATGTAGAGAAGTTTGTAACTAACTGTAGCATTGCACCATGGTACCATCAGTCTTTGCAGTATTGGTGAAATGCTAATCAACTTTGTGCTGGCTTTCTTTGTTGTTTAATAAATATTTTAGACCATTGCCCAAAAAAATGAAGCAAACTTTTTAACATCTCACACAATATTTGAAAAAGAAAAACGAATAATATTATCTACATATAATTTCTCTTCCCCTATATATAAGTTGCAACTTTTGGGATAGACTACCATTTTTTATAAATTACTATTCCGGTCTTTATTATAAGTCATTTATAAAAAATATATTTTTGGGTGAGATTGTAGGAGAGATTTTTTATTCAATGATGTTTTTCTAATTTTACCTGTATTCAATTTTTCGGAAAGAAAGAGAAAAAAAGTTGATAATAATTTGTAAACATAGGGTGAGAGAAAACTATAATGATTATAAGGTTGAAAATGTTCATTGAGAATTGCTCTTTATACATATTAGAAAAATTAATTCTCAGGCCAAAAAAAAAAGAAAAATTAATTCATTCTTTTTATTTCTTACATGTTTATTTTTGTACACAGTTTCTGTTGTCTCTTTACACTGCCATCCTCTCCAAGTTATTTTTATTTTTATTTTGTTTACTGCATTTATACTTGACGCCCAGTAAAGCAGGACAGCAAAATCCCCTCTCAACCCTCAAAGCTTTCAATCCAACCGTTGCGTAGAGATTAGCGCCGCTCCGCCACTCCCGCTCACCTCCTATTGCCGTCGCATCTCCGCTCCGGCGACGTAAGTTTGCAGTCCGTCCACCTTGCAATCTCTTTGCTCTGCTTGTGGGTGAATGTAACAGTCTGGGTAGCAAATAAAATCATCCTTGGGCTTTTTTTGAACCTTCCGAAACCATTTTCGCTGTTGATCGTCTTCTATCCCGGTCTAGTGATCGTTTTCGTTGATGGTCACAGTTTTATTAATATGCTCCCAAATTTATAGCTCGCGCCATCGATTAGTTCCCTGCTCATTGCTTGCTCTGAAAAGTAAATAGTGTGATTTTAACTTCTCAAATTGTTTTTCTTACATTTAATTATGTTTTTAATGATTTAATATGTTTCAATTCTGTTTCCCAGATTTGCTTCCTTTGTTCTTTTTCCATGTGTTGTGCTCTTATTACTTGTTCCTGATTTTGTTCCTAAACACATCCTAATTATTTTGGCCTTATTTACAGATTCAAAGCTGAAGCTATGAAAGTGTTCAAGATTAATGGAAGCACTCTTTCCCTTGCACTTTTCACTGATGTCACCAATTCAAAGTTAGTCTTCTTTCCGTGTGATAATTAAAAATGAGAATTTTTCACATAAAGTTGCGTTCTTGTATTGTTGACCGTGCTTGCTTTTTCCCACTTTTCCCTTCTTCAAATGTTTAACCGATTGTGGGAATGTTACTAAGTTTTAGTTTGAAGTTTTGATTTTTTGCTCCTGTCAGCTGTCAAGTGAAGCGGTGTTGTTAGAAGGTATTTTGTAGCATTAGGTTAGATTGTTTTCATTTTGGGCAACGGTCAGACAGCTTAGTGACTAGATGTTAGAGGTCACTTGACAATTTCAGCTGAATGTTTTTGGAGTTAGTGTTTTAAGGTTTAAACTGCCTCATCTTCTTTTAATAACAACTTTTGCACTGTTATTGAAGAACATACGAGCATTTTGATTAACCAGTTTTCTGCGGTCATTGTAGAAAATGGTAATCACAAAATATTGTGCTAGTCGCTAGTGGTAATTGTTAAGAGACCATTGCAGACTTATTTCAGAAGAAGAAAGCATCAGAAACTGAATTAGCAGAATAAGGAACCACAATGTCTGTTGAAGTGGTTCCCAGTTATTTTCTAGGTATTGAAGTTTGTTTCAGAGGTTTTAGGGATTTTTCAGACTTCATTTAGTTATTTCAAATGTATTTTCAGCTCTTTAAATAGGCTAACCACTGCAGAATCTAGTCATTCAGAAATTAAAATCCCAGTTTATCCCATTTGGAGATTCTCCTGATTATTTGACTATTAAGAAATTGTAGAGTGAGATTCTTGCTCTATCTTTTCTTGTTAGAGTTATACATCCTTTTATTTTCCTATCAGTTCAGAGCACTTATCAGTAAGACATCAATCTGGAGGAGCTAATTTTGTTGAATAAATTGTAAGAAAAAAAATATCTATTTATTTTTGCTTAAGATAGTTTGTATATGCTACAATTAAGTTTGGGAACATGATCTTAATCATTAGTTGAAGTATGAGATGCAATTTCTTGTTCTTGCAGGGAGCTCTTAGAAAGTATGCAAGCTGCAACATTGGAACCAGAAGTTGCATTCCTCAATGCTTTACTTGTAATGCTTAATTTTAGTTATGCAGTAATTATAGTCTCCTTCCTTTTTCTAGTTCAGCTTTTTTGCCGTCTCTTTTCCCAGAGCAAAGTCCAGCCTCACTTATAAGATGATAATGAAAGCATAATATTGGTTATGAAACTGTGGACAAGTGGTGAAACCTTATTCCATCTTTCTATTGTTCTCTCTTTTGTCAACCGAACCAGATTCCAGATATATTCCCTGTTCTAGCTGCTGCCCACAAGACGCTCATAGCCAAGTCACGGGATTCTTTGACAACGCGCACGCTTCATTCAGAGCTGGTTTACAATTACTCGGGATCCAAGCATGTAATTTTTCTAATATTGTGTTACCTGTTGTTTTTCATTGTTCTATGTGATAGAATATGAACCTTGTCGAGTTATGGCTAGATTACAGAGTCGTTGAAAAGATGCGGCATCTCTGATACCACAACTTACATCCTTGCTGCTCGTTTTGATGCTACTCCTGAGGAGGTGAGATATTTCTGCAATAATGAAGTATGACACCCTTTTTGCGTATCTCACATTACTAGAAAGTGATCCTGAAGATATTTCTCCTTGTTTTAAGATGAAAGCAATTGAGAAGTTAATTAATGGGAAAGAGGTTGACCTGGAAGAGCTGGAAGCGAGAGCAAACCAGGCCCAGATACAAAAAGTTTGCGTCTGCACTTAATCGATATCACTTTCTATCTTTCCTTTTGTACATAATAGCATAATCATTAATTTTGCTATGTTTCAGCATTACAAGATCTCTGGCCCAGAGCTTGGTGTGTCATCACTTGCAGATGCAATCACTTGCCGTATAGCTGCTCGTGATGCCTTGTGAGGAATGATTGCCATCTGCTAATGCTATTCCCTTTTTGTTGAGTCCCATTTGTGAAAAAATGGAATTGTAAAAGGAAGCTTTCAGCTCCTTTGCTGGCCGGTTCGTCTTTTCACATCTGTTGTCTCTGTATTTCCTTTTTCCATGTAAAAAAAAAAAAAAAAGAAGTCACATTAGCTGTAGAAAATGAGTATTAACCCATACCAATTGGGAAACCCAGTTAGGCAGATATGGTTTATGTGAAGATGATTGAACTCTGTGCTTTGAAAACTATGGTTTCATAAATTACATGGAGCTGTATAGTGATGCCATGTTATTATTCGTTGATTCTTAAACAAGCTAAAGAGAAGGAGTTGGGTCGTCTTAGTTAGTGATGCTAAATTGATGGTGGATATGGTGAGCAGTTCCAAGAAAGCTCTTAATGGGGCTATTCTACCACCCTTATGGTTAGTGTTATAAATCATTTGTAATCCAATATCCATTCTTGTATATCAAGAAATAAGAGTTAAGCTATTAAGGATATGTTTGGATTAACAGTGGTAAAACTAGTTTTTGTTCCAATTAACTTTTGTAAACTTAAGTTAGAATAAAAATCAGTTAACGTAATGTGATTTATATTTAGATTGATGCTTACAAAAAGTCAGTTAAAAAGTTAAAACTTGTTTGGATGATTAATAGAAAAGTAAATTTACATGTAAAATTAAATAGTAGTGTTTTATATTATATGATTTTAATGTGATAATTGTTAAAAAAAAATGAGAATAATAATTATACAATAAAAATATTTGTTAGTGAGAAATTATAATAGGGATTTTAAATTAATAAAAAGCATTTAAATTAAAGGGTTTGTATACACAATTAATTTGCAAAGTGCTAGCACTCTGCGCGTATAAAAATTTATCAAGTCTTTATAACAAATTAATTTTTTAATGAAGATTTTTTTTCCAATTTTCTCTAAATTTATTACTTAATTTTTTCTTTGTTTGTATACTCTTATAAACTTATTTTTCTAGTTTTATTTATAAGACATTTTCAGCTTATTTAACACAAATTAAGAAAAATTTTAAGTTATATTAACTCTTCAATAAAATATAATAACTTTTTAACTTTATGCTATTTAATATGTATACATATTTTTTTTAAAAAACAACCATATACACCATAATAAATGAATGACAAAATTATACATTTATGCCAAAAAATTTAATAAAGTGACATAAATAGGATTGAGAAAAATTTTCTCTTTTTACCTTATAAATAAGATTATAGAAGTATATAATTATTGAGTATTTTTGGAGTAATTTTTATTTTTGTTAAAATAAAGTAGGACCTATTTTAAGACTTGTATCTCATCTCATGGACATCTTTTTTCTCTCTCTACGGTGACTTTTTTTGTCTAAAAGCTACAAATTTCGGCTTTTACTTCAACCTAACTTTGTTTTTTTAAAAGCCCATTTGCTCAAAGTTAATCCAAACAAGATCTCACCCATAAATAAGCTACCATCCCAATGCGCACTTTTTTTCCCAACGGCATTTCAAACATGCCCTAAATGTTTCAAATTAATAAACTTTCTTAAATTTGTCCTTATTAAAACTTTCTCTTTCTCTCTCACGTGTCTTTAAAACTGTGCATTTGAGAATTAATATCAAATATGTGAAGATCTCTTAATGTACTTGATAATATCAACATGCTTAGTTCACTTATTTGAGAAAGTTAATATTTTTGCTTTTTTGGTAAACTATGTCAATGCATGAACGGAAGCATATTTATTCAATTTTAAAAGGGTTGACTTAAATTTGGTGTTAACCAATATCTAAAGAATGGAAAGAGATTAAGATTGCATTAATAAAAAAATAATAAACCCAAAATGCGTTCACAAATTTTGATTCACGCAAAAGGATGGGATTATATTCATTTTAATAAATCTTGATTGGGTAAGCAATACCTAATAATAAAATCACCAAATAGCGAAGTACCACAAGTAGTAAAATTTGAAGAAAGTATGGTCAAAGGCTGAAAGGTAAACACGTATGATACAAATCTAGCGGGAACCCATATAACGATAATAACTGTCTTAACTTCCGAATTCTACGTCTTCAATCAATTTCTTCTCCTTTCTGGGTTTCTCTACTTTCCCATTTCTCCACAAACCTTCATTTACCTGTTCGAACATTCATTGTAAGTCCTCGCACTTTCTGTTCTTTCATTTTATATTATTTTTTTCCCTCAATTTGATTTCAGTTATAATCTGTTAGCTAAGAGGTTTTAATTGTTTTTAATATCCCGTGTTTTTTCAATGAGGAGAGCGAACAAATCAATGATTCAATGGGCAGAATCGAGGTGAATTTCTACAGCAGAAAAGAAGAACAGCTATGAACAATATGTCTCTGTAAATTTAACATACTCATCTGATACGCAATTCTTCAAATTACATACAAACACAACAAATTTTTTTTTGATGTTCTGGTGTTTTTTTATCATGTTATGCGTTGCATTTTTAGTGGATATTAGGATTGTGTTGAATATGAATAACCATTTGAATAGCTAGAACTGGGCTCAAGTTATCATCATTCTCTTTCTCTGGTCCGAGAAGGTTTATTACAATATTAATAACGCCAAACATTGGAAAGAATGTAGCATTTTTTGTCATGTCAAAATGTTTAGCAGTAATTATATAGCATTACCAATAGGATTGGATCTAGCAAAAGTCTCTTATAATATGATGAACCAATGTTTAAATCCTCGCTTACAGAAGTTTTCTCATTTAATAAGAAAAAAATTATATAGCATTGAAAAGCGATGAGAAATTATTCTTGGTGAGGCTTCTTGTGTGTGGATGTTGGAAAAATTTTGCAGTAATTTCCTAGAATATAGCATTATTTATCATTTAAATGTTTAGCATATTGAAACAGTCTTAGACTCTCCAGCTCTAACAGCTAGCTTTTGAGATGTGGTTCTCCTAAAGACTTTAGACTTTTTTTTTTTTGGGGTTAACATCAAGGACTAAAATATTTGAGCAGAATTTCTTCAAATATGTAAATATATCTGTAGTATCGGTAGGACGTGTAATATGCTGAAATTTATATTGATATGGATTCATAAGAATTTTGCTACACTTTGCAGCCGCTTTATGCAGTGAAGAAACATGAAAGATTTTGGTTTGTTCAGGAGGTTAATTACTATACAGATGCTGATGTGATTTCTTCAGTATGTTCAACTCCTGCTACAATTCATACGGCCAGAGGGATAAATTTGTGAGGTACACAGTGCACAAGTAGAGAGTGTGCGCGCGCGCGCGCGCGCTCATTGATGTTTCATGGGGAAGATATTGAAAGTGACTGATTTCAGAACTCATACCCCTGTGGTTCCTATTATAAGTTTCCTCCAACCACTTCATCAGAACCAAGGAGAGATGGTTAAATCATTAAATTTGTTTGAAAATGAAACAGTTTTTCAAATTTACCCTCATTTAAGACCATGAATTATATCTTAAGAATCGGGAAAAAAAATTGCATCAAACTTTAAATAAGAACAATCTTGAAAAACTATAATTAATACCTTTCCTGGTTGGCTTATAATAATAAGGACCACATATTCCTTTTAGAAAGTGACTTATAATAGGTGTTAGAGTGGCAAGTCATAATACACCTTGTTTGTGTTAGTTGTTGAAATAAGCATCCAATGGTGATGATACAGGTTGGATGATCTTGATTCTAACACTTCAGTACAATCCAGCCCAAGTGGAATCATGAAGAAGCTCAGATTTAATATAGAGGGCAAGCCCATTTCTGGTCGTGAAAATAAGAATGCATCAAAATCCTTTAGGATGGGAATGAAGAGAGGATCAGATGGACTAAAGACATTTGGAAGATCACTGAAAAGTGGAGTCACCTGGCAAGTTTTCCCAGAAGATCTTAAAGTATCAGAGACTAAAATATTTGATCCTCAAGATAAGACCCTTTTGTTGTGGAACAAGTTTTTTGAGCTTCTATGTATTATTTCTGTGTCATGTGATCCTCTCTTCTTTTATCTTCCCTACTTCAACCTCAGATCTCACTGCCTTGCCATTGATACTGCTCTTGCATCTACTGCTATTATTCTGAGATCGGTACTTGATGCTATCTATCTCATCCGCATGGGTTTCCAATTCCGGACTGCTTATATTGCACCATCCTCTCGGGTTTTTGGACGAGGTGAACTTGTCATTGATCCTAAAAAGATTGCCAAGAGATACCTTGGGCGTTACTTCATTGTTGATTTCAGTTCTGTGCTGCCATTGCCACAGGTTGGACAAATTATTATCATCAGCTTCTTGTAGCCACTGCTTTGCTTCAAGGGTTATTTCTCCCCCACCTGTAATAATTCCATTGAAAAACCTAATGACAAATACCTAACTCATTCTATTTAAGTCTAGTCCAAGAATATATCAAATAAAAAGTCTAGTCCAAGTAATAATATTAGAGACAGGATCTAAAACCCCACGCTAAGTCTTATTTTGGGAAACACTCTCTTCCTCTGAATGACTGAATGTAAATCAAATTTGACATAGTATTGCATAGATACTTTGTTTGAAGTGTTATAAATATATCACAGCTGCAAAATGAATGAAACAAGCTAAAAGCTGCTGAGCTGGGGAAGGAGAGTCCAGGACTTTTGCCACAAACAGATGAGCTGTAGTTCGCTTATGATTCTGCCAAGGATAGAGATGATAAATTATCATATTTTGAATAGAATTGAAGGATAGTTTTAGCCACAGTCACACCCTTGTCTTTGGCTACTGAAATTAAGTATTCTAGTATGGTATGGAAATTTGTCTCCAAGAAGTGGTGTTATGTATAGATGTTTTCAGTGCAGATTGTGGTGGCCAACTATCTTCAAAAAGCAAAAAGTTTAGAGGTGTTAGCCACAAAAACGACGCTATTGAGAGTGGTCATCCTCCAATATATTCCGAGATTTGCACGCTTTATCCCTTTAGCTACTGAAGTTAAAAAGACAGCTGCTGTCTTCTCTGATAATGCACTCGTGGGTGCCACCTACTATTTGGTTTGGTACATGCTTGTTAGCCATGTAAGTCCATCTTTCATGAATTCACACATGTCATTATGTTTCAATATGAGTTGTCTGAAAAATGGAGTTATGAAAGAAAGTG